GTCTGATGTTACCAGGAGGGGTCTGATGTTATCAGGAGGGGTCTGATGTTACCAGGAGGGGTCTGATGTTATCAGGAGGGGTCTGATGTTACCAGGAGGGGTCTGATGTTACCAGGAGGGGTCAGAAGTTATCAGTCACTTATGGCTGCATAGCTGGATAATACCAGGCCCTGGCAGAAATATTTGTTCATTGTTCAAATAATGTTCATTTAGAACAACACTTAACATTCTTGGGATAGATACCTGTAAATTCAAATAAAATGATAACATATACATTTTTCTAACATGAAAATTACTAGCAGCCCTTGTACTCAGATAAATTAGGCATATTTATATTTCACTTATTCATATCTTAAGGTCTACACTTTAGACTTTAATGTCTCATACTTGCCTTTTTTGTTTCATTTTTTTAGCCGATTTAACATCTTTGACCCTTTTTGACCAATCAATCATAATCTTATTTGAAATGAATTGAAAAGACAAATGGAAACTAAAGGAATTGATGGAGTTTATAGGAAAATGCCCTATCATAGTGAGCTTTTTTTTATCATAGTGAGGAAATACTTTGCTTCCTGTTTAGTACAGAACAAAAAAAATCCGTATTCCTTTTAAAGGCTTTTTAGTGAGATTTTTTTTTTTTATCTGTTTTTCCGACCGAGGTTGGTGGAAAATGCTCAAACATTGCGCAGCAGAGGGTTAAAAAAAGTCATGTCTGACGTCACTGGAAATTCCCCTCGCGTTGTTTCTGAGTCTGACGCGGCTCAAAACAAACTTTAAACCATAAAATATGTTTTTTAAACCCTAATATTGTATATCTAAAAAAATAAATAAATAAATAAAACAAGCGGTGAAGCTGCTGCTGTTTGAATAAAGAGAGCGCTTTGAAGTAAAGTGAAGGAGCGGTTTGTTTTGACTTGTTGCGCATGCGCACTCCTCTGTCTGTGCAGCCCCTCTGTCCTCAGCTTCAGCTCAGCTTCCAGCTCCTGCTTCACTTTCAGTTTTGCCTTCGGGTTTTTTTCGTCGCTAGTGTGATGCTCGGGGTCAGGCCCTCAGCTCTGTTGGGGACCGCCGCTGTGACGTCACCGTGGGCCCCTGGCAGCGCGTGCCCTCCTCCTCCTCCTTCCCTCCCAGCAGCAGAACTTTGGACTCCCAGCTTGTTTGTTTGTTTTTTTTAGACTGCGGAAGAGCCGCTTTCAGTCAGAATCCACCGCGCAGAGACTGATCAACCTTTAATGAAGAGAGATCTAATGAAATATTCATGGTTTGGATCCATGTTGGAACTTTCTGATGCCTTTCCAGCACGAGGACAGCCTCTGTTTCCTGGTTTGTTTTCTCCCAGATGTGAGGTAAAACCTTTCCCCCCACAGGCCCTCATCCAGAGGCTGCTTTCACTTTACGTTTCTTCATAAATGTTGGATGTTGCTGTAAGTAGAGCTGCTGTGTTGGTTCTGTACTGCTGTGGATTAGAAGCATCTAATGGGGTCAGCTCTATAAACACAAACTTGGACTGTTTTTAATTTGGTCTAGACTTTTATTGTTTTTTTTAAAGCGGATTATCCACTTTGTTTCTTGTTTTAACAAAGCACCTTTGATCATGGAGTAATTAGATCACATGATTTATGGGTCTTTAAGGCAGAAGTTCTCAAACTTGTAAACTTTTGACCCACAAAATGTGTTATGTACGAAGAGGATTAGGGCCGCTGAAAAAATAAAAAAACAAGTTAACTGATTTTTACATTTTATTTCAACATAATATGAGAAAAAAATTCAGAATTCTGACTTTTAACTCAGAATTCAGATTTTAAACTCAGAATTCAG